TGCTGGCTGTAGCAGCGCTATAGCGCTGCTATAGCGCTGCACAGCAAAAACGCATAAAAAGCATAACAAGCGAAACATTCGATGCATGCTCTAATTTGTCCGCTTGTAGACGTTCCGGAATTCTGAATTAGGTTTTTAAAGGAAACATCAGGGATCAGCGCGCGACGTTGGTTTTAAGAAGTGACATTTTCCTGGAATGAATTTCGTACTTTGTTTTTGCAGAATCGATTCTGGGGAAGAGTATTTGTTTCATTGAACTTTAAACTTGGACAAATGGTGCGCAACGAAACTTTCCAGGAAGACGAATTGCGCGAGCTATTTGGCTTTACCACCAATGTAAGATTTTCTGTCACTTTTATTCAGCTGTTGGAGGTTTTCAAATAAAAAGTGGAGAACACATTTTTTTTAAATCAACGTGGGAATTTGTTGCATAAAAACCGTATTGTGGGGACTTGTCATATATCGTTTTCAGGGAAATCACTGATGAATGTGAGGTCTAGTGGCAAAGCAGAATTAAAGCGTTCATAACTTAATGAGTTGAATCACATTAGCTCCCCGCTTTCATTCATATTTCCTTAAGTATTTGTCAGAAAAGAAGCACTTTTCAACTTGCGCTAAATCAACCGTGCGAACACAGTCTCTACTTCTATTCTGTACACAGTTTTTATGGAAACAAATACACTGTTAGTTACAAATTAGACTACTGTAACTCGTATGAGTACTGTAACACCTCGGCCAACCATAGTTTACTTACAGCACACAAATAAAATGGCTTACAAAATTTTGAACTACAAAATCTTTAACTGGCTCATCAAATCTGCAGTGCTTGGCATTCAGGTTGCTGGTGATGATCACTTGTTTTTTCGTTTTTTTCTTTTTGTAGCCGTCCTTCCTTCACTTCCTGGAAAAATTCCGATTACACCGTATTCCCTGTGCTACTAGTATGATTACTATTCTCATTTACAAGCAGTTTCTCTATAAACCTGAATAATGGACGTCATGTGAAGGCTGCGGCATGAATTAGTTGAGAAAAATTTTCAGGGATCCCAAACATTCGAGCTGGCCGTCTCCACCGTACAAATATTTTCTGGTCTTTTCTAGAGATGGCTATTTTTAATACTATGTCCTTTATTAGTTACGCCAGAGCCATTCGTCGCCTGAGCGATAAATATTTAAAAACAAGAGGTACTTCTTGCGTGCATAAATAAATAGGAAGAGAATCTTTTCAGATTATCTGCACGCTGAAGTTCAAAACAAAAAATGTGCCCATTATTGTGCTTGTTTTTTCCCGAACAGTAATTTTGTTCAAATTTCCCGCTATTAACAGGGTTTGTGCTTTGTCAGTTACCGTAGCCCGAGCTTCAATTCACTTATTTTTAAATACAGAGAAGCTAATAAAATATTGTATATAATTTAGGCCAGGGATATTCTGAAAGATTTCCGTACCTCGCGAGATTTCTGGATGATGCAGAAAGCACGTCGCGTTAAAACTCTGGTCGAGGAGAATTTGTCGCAAACTCCAGAAAGCTCCCTTTTCGTATGAATTCTTATTTAAAATGAAGTTAACGAAAATAAATGACTCGAAGCACAAGTAGTTTTTTTTTTTTTAAAATATATCTTTTCTTGAACTAATTTTCATCCGAATTCTAATTCCTTGACTTTTTGAATTCTTTCAAAAAAAGTTTTTTCTAGTATTTTCTTCTGGCACTAATTTTTTTGGTGCAGTACGTTGCCTTATGGAGCCAATTTTCCGGGTAGACGTGTAGCTGGTTTAAAAATGGCAGGATTTCCAGGATTTTTCTATTTATTGGTTCCACATATCTCTTATGTTTTCAAGCACTTTTTTCCACAGACACTTTACATTGTTTGTTCAGACTGCCACTGATGCGCTATCGATCAGTTTAACCGTACTGTTTCGTGATCGAGCTATCGCCTGTCTACCGCTTTACAGTAATAATTACCGACCTTTTACGTCGGCTTTATTGGTTGGTCTCAAAGACGCAGAAGCATCGGTCAGTGTGGTACATGGAGCTTATGCTGAGGCCAAATTTACGGATTTTAAAGTTGTTTTCGTGGATAATTTGGAAGAGGTTGGTAGTTACTAAGGAGTTTGTTTGCCCACTCATTAATTTCATTACTTGTTTATTTCAATAGTGTGTGTACACCCCGGCCCAAATTTTCGTACTGTCATGGAACCCGAAACTAACCTTTTTTTTAATCGAATTTATATAAATTTCATTGATTCAGTGGAAAAGCAGATATAGTAAAACATCACCATTTTTTTGAAAATATAGCATGCTAACTGTACTGTTCCTGAAGCTGCTTCTTGTTCTTTATGAGGTCAGTTCGGAGCAAAGCAGTGGAAAGCGCTCGTGACACCACAATGAGAAAGCAGCGAGAAACAGTCACTTTTCATTTTAAACAATTTATAATCGCCTTAAACATCCTTTGATATTGTCCTATTGAACTAATATTCCTTGAGGAAACGTTGCTAAATTTGGACTGCCAGCAGTTTCATCAACGAGCGGAGCAGCTTCATCTGACCAGTAAACCATCGTCTGACCAAATGGCGGTGCAGCACCGGCCAGAGCGACTGGCAAAATTATCACCTGCATAGCTAAAAGAATCGCACGATGAATTACATTGGATCTGAGTGCCAAGCATTTCCCACTCAGCCAAATATCCACTTTTCTTTTAGTCACTGGAAGAAGCATGGATCAATGGTCAGGAAACAATACGTACAAATTTCGCTTTGTTTCCGCTGGGCGTTTGTAAAATAATCTCCAAAAAAGTAAAGCGTTCAGCAGACGACAGTCGGATGTTTGTGATATCGGTGCAGTGCTCTTTCAAAGGACTCACTTTTGACATCGACAGTGTTCGTTTAATTCGTCTTTATACTGCATTATTTCATTGCCAGTTCTTCGGCCGTCATCCACTGTCCTGCAGTTATCCCTCTTTAAGCTTGCACTGCACCACTTTTTAACTCTTTCAGTTTGAAAAATTGCCATTCGGCACCGACTATTGCACAGTTTCACTGAAATTACCATAAAGCCGAGTAACACTCATCGCTTATTGCAAATAGTCCATCCTGTCGAGTCTAGGATTAAGTTAATCATTTTGCAGCAATTATTTTAGAAAGCTGGTCTAAGAAATCCAACTAACTCTTGCAGAATATTGGACATCTACTTGGAGCACTTAAAAATACTTGTGCTGCCATTGATGAAGATCAGGATCTGGATCCAAGTGAATATCAGTCTCTAAAAGTCACATTGGGCGAAGCAGAACACGATGAAGATCTCGATCCAAAAAACGAATACGCTTGTCTCGTAAAGCCAGAAAGCCGAATTCGCTGGGTTGAACAAAAAGTTAGTATTATCCCGCTGCTTAAATACCACTGAAACTCTTCAGTTGAGTGAAATTGTGTGGTTTATCCCATTTTCAAATCTTAGGTACTATTTTTACCAGACGTTTTTCCGTATAACGTCTAAAATAGCATTTCACAAGATTTCTGACATATTTAGTTTATATAGCCTTCATTTTTATGCTTTTTTTGCAGCAATGCAATGCGAAAAACGCATATTGACGAGAGGTTGTCTGTGTG